ATATAAAGGAGGGTGACAACGTGACGGGAGATTATTGTAATGTGTGTGTAGACAGTGAGTAATTGATCTGCAGTCAGAAGTATTATTGAGCACGTTCGTTGTTATAGCGTTTGTTTAGCGCAATTGTTGAAGTTGAGTGTAACGGTAAAGTTGTATTCGGAAAGAATAAACCAGTTTTATTAAGTAAAGAACTTGTGTCGCTAAAGTTTCGTCGGAACGAAGTTACGGAAAGTTAATTAACAAACGGAGACGTAACAATACTTATAGTTTCAATTATCAAACAGTTCTTACTCTTAAATGTTTGGTTTATTAAGTGACAGCATTTTTACACAGTAGATATCACAACACAATATTCTTTCACTCAGGTGCATCTCACTTTCACATGTTCTTCAGAAGTTTGATGTGATGAAATGTTAATCACTCAAAGCTGAAGGATCAATTAATTTTTTCCATACAACATATATCTGAAAGACTTAATAATCAAATGATCTCATCTTATTTTAAAAAATTAATTAAAACTATTTCCATTAATAAAATTTAACAATTTAAGTTATTAGTGAAATCCTCATTATTTGGCAAACTGTTATAACAAAAACTTTAAAAGCAAAATATGTAAACTACAACTTTCTAGGTTTTGAAAAAGTTTATGAATTTTGTACAACAAATTAATTTTCTCCTAACTAAAACCTTAAACACATTTCTCTTACTTAACACATTTTTAGTGAAACAAATTAGATTGATTGAATTAAGTTTAATCAATCCCCTTCTTAAAAACAAAGGAATCCTGTTGATTAATTTCAGCATCTTTTCAGGCATGTTATTTTCCTATAACACGAAGGCAAATTGAGCACAATTCTCTGACAATATAATTACAAACCTAGCCAAGACAAAACTTTTACATAGTCACTTAGGACAATAAGCATAACAAAACATAAGTATTTCGATGGTCCATTATGAGTTTTGCTAAGAAAAGTATGGAATGATATTACAATTACACTTTGCATTTTGTAGGATAGGGATATGGTAATTAAATGGACTGAGAGTTGGTCAGGTTTCAGAAGGCAGAAGGAATGAGGTGAAGTCACAGTGGATTAATGTTACAAATGTTGTACCTCAGGTTTGTGTTATGTTTCTCACTTTCTCATTTTCATTGCAAATACTAATAATAAAAAGATGTTTAACAAGCCCAGATTTTTTTCTCCTCAAAACTTCAAATCAAGGCTATAAGATTAATGTTTTATAACCATTATGTGAATCCCTACTTTTATTAAGCCACCATGACATTTTGCAATACTGTGGCATCTCTAGTACAGATTTAATAATAATCCATTAGTCTAAAATGGCAGAGTTAACCTATTTAATAATTTCTAAATCTTTCTAGACAATGTATGTTAGCTATTAATAAGGAAAACACTATTTCAAGTTGTATATGTAGAAATACTGAGAAGAAATCAAAGGATTTCATCAACTCATGGTATAAAGTTCTGGCTACATCTCACGTGGAATATGGTACTCAGTTTTGATCACCTCTTATAATAAATGATGTTGAGTTATTGGAGAGGGTTCTGAGAACTAGTTTGATAATTTCAGGCTTGGAGAGTCATTGTCTGAGGACAAGTTGAAATACATTGAAACATTTGGAATTATTGGTTACTTTTGCATCATTCTGTTGCATATTCTGACTTACGGGGGAAGTTTCTATCAGTGAAACTACATGATACAAGTTTCAAATATGTAAAAAAGCTTCTGGGCAGCTAGACAAGTACATAAATTTTAGTTTTGAAAACAGACATCTCCTCTTAAGGCAATGTCATTTTTCTTGAAGGGTGATTAGATTACAGAATAGTAGAAGATACAACACTGAAAGAGCTCAGTAAATGAGTACTTTAGATATAATGGTTGGATAAAAGAAAAGTCTGTAGTTGTAGAAAAATTGAATAGATTAGATGATTCAAAAGATTTCTTGTTATCCATTGTAAATAAAATGTATAAGGCTGAGGGTTCCAGGTTCAAGCCCTGGTCAGTTTTTCTTTATAAAAGCTGATTTTACACAATTAATAATGTAGAAATCTTGCATAATGCCAGTTAAGGAAACATGTTCAAGAGTTATTTATAAATTGAAAAATACATTTCATACACAGGTGACAAAACAACTCACAATGAAAAGTGATTACAAGCATTTTGCTTATGCCAGTTCCCTACTGGAAGGTACATATAAACACAACACTCACCAAGAACACAAATCTAAAAATAATTTATCAACAACAAATTGAACTGTATTAACGCCAAGAAAACCTCTAAGTGGGAATATATTTCCATGAATATTGACAAATCTTACTGCATAAAGAACATTGAGAAACAGCTCACTGAAAAATGACAAGCAGTAAAAAGATACAAGACAAACATTGTTCTGGGAGGGAAACTGAGGAGAAAACAGGAATGAATAAGTGGAGAATACTATAAACCTATTATACAGTGAGCAAACATACAGTATCAATTAACAGCCAGTACATCTCAATCTTTATACATAACTAAAACATTACAGATAATTTAATATTTTCATCTCATGAAAATGTACATACATGTCCACTAAATCAATAGCATGGATAAAAAGTTAAGTGAGACTACAATTGAAAAAGATAACACTAAAATATTTTGTTTTTACACAAAATCACGATAATGACTATACTCATTCATAAAAATAAAAAATTAGCAATTTCCTATTGTTCACTGTACAAGGCAAATTTTATTGTACAGTTTGAGTTTCCAAATTAAATTTTCAGAATTACATAAATTAATTACATTCGTAATGGTCATATTCAGAGAAAGGTAATGAGGAAAGAGAGGACCATGACAAAGAAAAATCATGAGCCTAAGAAGTAAATCTAAAATGTTTAATATTATATTAAATAATGAAATAAAGTTACATTCACTTGAGGAATAACTATCAGGAAGATTACATTCCCTCACGTAAAGTTGCATTTCCTCCAAATCTTTTTTTTAAATTTAATCCATACAGTATGTTCACTTTCATTGGTCATAACTAAAGGAATAAGGATGAACCATTCATTAACAATCACGAAAGCCAAACTAAAAAAAAAAGACGAAATTCCTCAAGCAAAGTTAAATTCCTTGGGAATGTAATATTTCGATTCCTGTTTGCATGAAGTCAGTTCCCAATATGCACTCTTCCTTAAGGTCAACCAACCATAGATAAAAGAAGTTTCATACAGTATGCTTAATTTTGGAAAAATTCTTCTTATGGAAACTGTCCACTTGCTGTTCCAATCAATCCATCTTCTTTATTCATTACTGGAGGCCATTTCTCATCATTCATTACCAGATTGGGTCTATTGTAGTTTTAGAACCAGTGTCAATCAAGACTTCCTATGGACTGGTTTCTTTAAATAATTTGAGGTAGATGGAGCATTCTTAGCTGTACTTTGCCCCATAAGTACAGCTAATTCCTGTCTTTATGATGCTGGATACCTCTTTGTTGATTCTTTGATTTATTTGGGTCCGAGATTCG